CTTCAAATATATTAAGTGCAGTTATATATAAGAGGCATTGCTGTAATGCTCATTTAGAGGACAAGATTTGGATTAGCGGGTAGTGGACAAAAGGATGCATAATTTAGTTCATCTTAGAAAGTGTTTTACATATGCAGAAGCCATGAGTTATGTCTTGGTACTCTGAAAATTGCAGAACTGCTGCTTTGGATGGATCGCAGACCTGGTTTCTATCTATAGGAGCCATGAGTTCTAATTAACTGCACTGTGACTATTTTACCATGATGGCTTTAAGGGGCAGTTCAGTGACTGTTCAGGGTTATATCATACCTACTGTAACTGGTGAGACGATAAATATTTGACCTTGATGCTTTAGTCCCAGCATACAGTCTATTTTTTTTGAGACGGAGTTTTACTCTTTTTTGCCTAGGCTGGAGTGCAGTAGTGTGATCTCAGTTCACTGCAACCTCCGCCTCCCTGGTTCAAGCAGTTCTCCTGCCTCAGTCCCCTGAGAGCTGGGATTATGTGTGCACGCCACCACATCTGGCTAATTTTGTATTTTTAGTAGAGACAGGGTTTCACCATGTTGGCCAGGCTGGTCTCGAACTCCTGACCTCAGGTGATCCATGCATCTTGGCCTCCCAAAGTGTTGGGATTACAGGCATGAGCCACCGCACCTGGCAGCACACATTCTTATTCTGTCATACTTAGTACTTTATTCTAAGAATGCTACAGTGTTAAAAAAAAAAATGCCCTTTGGTATTTAACCCAGCCTCCCAAAGTTAAGAGCAGAAAGAACTGTCCCTTTGAAAATTTAATGCAGACTTCTATTTGATAATTCTTAGGCATATCAATAATGCATACCAGGAAATAACTTGAACCAAATAATAACTGATGCTTAAACATATCTGAGCCAGTTATGCTAGGGAAGTGCCTCCCTATCTAAAGAGCAGATAAATATTAAGATAATTTACTCTAGAGTTTTTTTATGGTCTCTTTTTTTTTTTACATTTGTTACCTTTTAAAGTTAAAAGTGATATATATGCATTCCAGAAAAATGCAATAAAAATGCCCGTAATTCCACTAAATAAGCATGCCAGTTTTAACATGTTAGTATTTGTAATAGGAATAATAAATAATAACAATAGACAGGTACAATTTTAAGTGCATTTCATTTATGAATTTACTCACTCATCTCCCTAACTCTAATTGGTGAGCTCGAACTTAACAATTTCCCCCCATGTTTAAGTTACTTGTGAGCTCAGGATGCTACACCAGGGCCCATACTTTTCACCATCAGACTATACTGCCTCTATTACACATATCAAAAGTCCTTTGCATGTATTTCATTTTCAATGTACACATATGGTTACATAATGGTAATATTATGTACATAAAGTTTGTTTATCGTTTTTGGCATTTAAAAATATGATGTGAACTTACTTCCATATTTCGATTCATCAAGCATTTTATTAAGTGCTTGATATGTCTCTGATTTTGTTCCTGGAATAACCAGTTTTTACAAATAGTATTTTGAAGAATCCATAATTCATCATCTTTCTGTTGATTTGTTTTCTATACCATCTATTCTGTATGTGGATGTATAAACATTTGTAAGCTATTTTTTATATATACTATGTGTCATATTATATATGTGCACATTTAATCAATTTCTTTTGAGCTATTTTCTATACTATCAATTTTTTGTACCAAGATTGTAGACAGAGTTTTACAATATAGTTTTATATGGTGGCACGTAATTTTCTTTCATTCAAAGATTTCTTTTTAGCTGTTCTTACTCATTTAGTCTTTCAGTTCAACTTCAGAATAATTTTGAAAAGTTGAAATTTTTCTTGGATTCTGTTAAGTTCTCTCATTTATTTGGAAAAAAACTTATATTTTTAGTATTATCTTCACATTTAAATACATATAGTCTGTTTTAGCACTTATTGAGGCATTCTGTATATCTCACTAGCACAATCTTTGTATTCCAAACCATTTTATGTTACTATTTTCCACGACATTTTCCCCCAACCATTTTACCTTTTAATTGATTTTTCCCTGAGATGTTGAAAAGCCACTGGTTTTTAGAAGTTAATTGCATATCTAGTTTCTTACAGCACTGTCTTAATTCTAACATTTTGTCAGTTAATTATCTTCGATTTTCTTGATAACAAGTTCCATTTATTGAGTAGTTAGCAGTCCATACCTCTGCTTTCAGAGATGAGGAAACTGAAGCTCAAAGGCAATTAATAACTTGCAAAAGGTGACAAAGCTAGTGAGCCATATAGCTGGGATGGATTTGTTCCCAGAGATCTCAGTTTCCACTGAACTCCACTACCTCGCACTACTCTGCCTCCACAGAACTGATCTACTATGCTTGCAGCTCTCCATGACTGATTCTTAGAGGCTATTGATCTAATCTTATTAGGTGCACCAGCCAGCTATTTACGATTTTTTCCAGTAGCCAATCATTTTCACATGATTTCTTTTTCTCGAAGTAGAGATCCTTTCTCATGTGTTCCAGAAATATTTCATCTCCTCCACTGTAGGTGTTAATTCTACATTTTCACAAGGAAAGCTTTATGTATTGTTGTGTTTTACTCCCACACGAGGTGTGGAGGTGGCCACTAGTCCTCCTGTCTTGAGGATAGCATGTCTGTGCAGAGTTCCTAGTCCAGTTTCTGTTGTCCGAGAAACTTCCTTTTCATCCTATGCTGATGAAGTTTGAGGAACTCATTCTGTCTACCAAGTTCTCAATTAGGAGAATGTTTTAAAGAAACAGAGCTGTCTGTGTTTCTTCCATGTTAAGAAGCACATGATAAGTACTGGACCTAGGGCATTTTCTGCCTGTGTCTTTATCTGTACAGTTCTGGGACTGAAGGATGTAAATGAAGAGATGAGAGTGAGATTTGGTAGTCTGATGTCATCTTAAACCATAAGTCTGTAAAACTTCAAAAATGGAAGGCCTTTTTCTGTTGTTGGAAAACTACATTCCAAAGAAAATTAGGAATAAAAATTGATGGACAAATTGAGTGTAATTCTATCATTTTGTAGTATCCTATTGTTTTTGTTCTCTTCCTTATACCTCTTTCTTTTAAGACTTATCAGTTAATATGGCTCAGGCATTGCTTTAAGTGTTTTACAGATATTAACCCATTTAATAACAATCATTTGTTATTAGTCCATTCATCTTTCATATGAAATGATACTGCTTTAAAGTGATATTCAGATACTTTATGCAGAAGTTAAATCATTCCCTCAACCTTTAAAAAATATTTATTGAAGATTAATTTGAAGTACACTCAGATACATATATTTGAAGTATACAGATTGGTCAGTTTTGAAATATGTAAGCACTCATGAAACTATTGTCATAATCAAGATAGTAATTTCAGCACCCCCAAAAGTTTCCTGTTTCTCTTTGTTTTCCAACTCTTCCTCCACCCTGTCCCCTAGGCAGCCACTGATCTGCTGTCACTAGAGATTCAGTTGCATTTTATGGAATTTAGATAAATGGAATCTTATGGCATGTAGTCTTTTTTTGGGGGTGGGAGGCTGTCTTCTTTCACTTAGCGTACTGATTTTGAGGTTTATTCACATTGTGGTGTGTGTCAAATTTGTTCCTTTTTGCTGAATAGTAGTCTACTGTATGGTTATACCACAATTTGTTATTTAATATACCTATTTTTAACATCATGTAGTTGTAATCATAGCACTTGATATTCTTAAGCTCCAAGGAGATAATGTAATCTATGATCATTAAATACTAACTAGTGAGTACTCCAGTAAGTTCTTTATAAAGTTTAGCAACAGCAGTCTAAAAGTGTAAGTGTAAGTACTAAAGGATTCTTGGCATTCTGAGATATTCCTGTAGGTGATTTTTTTGTTTCATTCGGTATTTAACGCTATTCTGATAAATTTTGATTTTTGAAGCTAACCATTCAGTTAGTGTATTAGATGTGCCTTCTTTTAGAACTATTTCACTTTCACTTGCTTGCCTGTATGTAGATCATTTAACTATCAATTAATGAATGCATGTGTCTGGGAGTGCAGGTGAGAAAGGTGGATCTCACACCACTCATTTAGAGGCTAAAATGAGGACTTTGTTGAGTTCATGGTAATGAGTATTCACATATGGTACAGAAATGAAAACAGTCTTTGTGTGTGTTCAGTTGGAAGAACAATTAAAAACATTCAATCCTAGTTGAAATTATATTTCTATTGTTAAAGTGAGAGGAGTTAAATGTAGCATTTATTTGAGCAGGAAAACCGTTCATCAGGAATGCTGTCACCAGGCAGCACGGGGATGGTTTCCTCATATTGTTCTTGTGGGAGTGAATACATCTCATGAGATCTGATGGTTTTAAAGGGGGAAACCCCTTTCATTTGGCTCCCATTCTCTCTTGTCTGCCACCATATAAGATGTGCCTTTTACTTTCTACCATGATTGTGAGTCCTCCCCAGCCATGTGGAACTGTGAGTCCATTAAACTGCTTTTTTTAAAAAAAATAAATTACTCAGTCTCAGGTATGTCTTTATCAGCAGCATGAAAATGGACTAATATAGTTGGTATATCTACAAACCTGGTGGATTATATAACAAGAAAACAAGAAATGACATACAGAGAGTACCTGATTGGTGCAGCTTGCATTTACCTTCTTTGGGTGTAATCTGGCAGCTTTCACCCTCTGGTTGTCTGAAGCTACTGTGATTGATTGAGACTCAGCTACTTTTTATAAGGATTTACTTTTGGTGACATTACAGTCTGTTTACACATCAAGTTAGGTTATAGTTCATAATGTATGGAGAAACCTTTATGCCAAACTCAGAATATGTATAGTGGCAGCTTTAGGCCAAACTTAATTCAGTTTAATACCATAAATCACAAATCCATCAATATAGCTAGGTTTAGTTGTTTCCTTCCTTCCTTCCCTCCTTAATTCCTTCCTTCCCTTCTTCCTTCCCTCCTCTCCCCTCTCCCCCCTTCCCCTCCACCCCCACCCCTGCTTTCTCTCTCTCTTTCTTTCTTTTTTCCTTTCTTGGGAGCTGATGAGAATTCTGATGACTATGTTTGCATTTAGAACAAGATAAGCATTCTTTTAGACTAATAGAGCTTCTGCAAGTTTTGAGGACCCTTATGTTTTTCTTATATTGTTGTTCCAGGAAGAGAAAAGTTGGTGGTATATACTGTGACTGACTAATATGTCCCGTCTAGGTTTTTTTCCTCTTAGAATCCATCATCTGTAGCAGTAGGTGATCAATTCAACCCATAACACCTTTATTCCCATATTAGAATAAAACAGGACAGGGAGAATAAATGTGACTCCCTTGGCATCATAGTAGTGAGTTCTGCACTCTATGATGGACACAGATAAAGGCAGGCTAATAATTAACCTGAACTTTTCAGCTATGGCTTTGTTTTTCCTGATCTTCCCTTCAAAATCAGATTCTTTACCGTTATTTCCTCAATTCTCTTTTCAACTCAGTCGAGTCAGGCTTTTACCCCACTTGTTTTCCTGAATCTCTTGTCATGGTTAGTAATCATCTGATTACTAGTAGTGTCTTTAATCCTCATCCTATTCCATCTCTCTGAGGCATTTGACTCTGCGTCCAGGCTGCTGCTTTCTTGCTTTCTGATACTGTCATCTTGTGCACTCATTGTTATGTCCTTATTTCTTCATTCTTCTATGACCTCTTTTTAAATGTCAGTTGTCCCAGGTTTTTGCTTTTTGTCTTTGTGCATTGTAGATATCCTAAGTGATCTTACCCATATTTTCTTTTATTATTTTTCTGTAAATGGAAGTAATACATACTTATTATTAAACAATTTGAATAATTTGAACAAGCAAAAATGAAAATCACCTGCTGTTATACCTATGGAGAACCATTGTTAACATTATTTATCCAGCTGCTTGTCTTAACATCTTAACTACAACATTTGTTTAAATGATTTTAAATCCAACCTCCATTGCATAGTTTTCCATGAACTTCCAAAATAATATTTATGGCTCCTTAAATTATAAAAAGAATTGTGAAAAAGCACAGTCTTTTTCTTTAAGGAACTCAGAGTCTAGTGAAGCAGCTCTCAATCTGGCTGCAAGTTAAAATCTCAGACCAATAATTTATTTCCAATTTAGGAACTGAGAACAGGGTCCAGGAGCCAGATTTCAGTGCATTGCCAGGGTTAAGAATCACTTGTTTAATGCCTATATTTCAAAGTGCCGTTTATTTAACATCTACTCTATGCCAGGCCATGTGGTATCCATTTGTTCTTTCAACAAATATTTTTTCAGCTCTTCTTTTATGTTTACCCCTGGCCTAGATACCAGGAATACATCAGAGAACAAAAACAGAGATCCTGTTCTTTTGGAGATTATGAAATGGTAAAAAGCGATAGACATTATATAAATACATGACAAGTGGTGATAAATGTAGGAAGAAAAAATAAGGGAGATAAGGGGATAGGGATGTGTGTCTATCTAAAAAGTCAGAAAAGGGCTTTTGATGTTATGGCATTTGAACAGTGCCTGAGTGAAGAGGTTTCAAGCCTACAGACATCTGGGGAAGGAGCTTCCAGAAACAGGAAATAACAAATGCAAAACCCTAAAATGAGCATTCACTTAAAATGTTCAGAGAAGACTGACCCACCAAGGCTTGAGCAGAGTGAATGAGAGGGACATGGCAGGAATTGAGACCACAGGGGTGATGTGGGTGGAGGGTGACAGATCACATGGTGCCTTTTACGGTGTGTGAAAGCCTGTGTGTCTCTTTACATTCATCCTCCCTCTTTGCTTATCTCTTTGTAAGGATATAAGGATAGCAGCCATATTGGATTTGACTCACCATAGTAACCACATTTTAACTTGATTGCTTCTACAAAGGACCTATCTCCAAATAAGGTTGCATTCTGAGGTACTAGGAGTTAGGACTTCAGCATGTGAATGTTGTGGGGGACACAATTCAACCCATAACACCTTTATTCCCATATTAGAATAAAACTTATTTCAGAACTTTTATTCTAATAACACTTACCATTTTTCTGCTGGGTGATATTTAGGCACAGTTACCAGTTACTCGATCCAGTTGTATGTGTCATTTTAGATGATTTGGGGTGGGAGGTGGATTTCCTGATGTAAAATGAGTACTTGCAAATCAAAGAGAATTGCCTTTTGGAAAAGAAACATAAAATGAGTTAGAGAGGTGGTTTCTTAATACTTTTTATGAATATGAGACCAGACTTTTCTTAGATTGCACATCTAACGTCATGTTCAATACAGTAGAACCAGCAAGCTAGTAGATGGAAACTTTCTCTACCTTGGGAAGAAGAGATAAATCAAAGTGCCTTCTCTGGGAAAAACCCTACGTTAAATATATGTACCATCTCCCTGGTCTTATTAAGATGGCAGCACAGTCTATTTCTAAATAAAGGCCAACATCTGACCCCACAGTATATCACCTTTAGTAAAGAAAGAAATTATGTTTACTAGAAGAATTTTTTGTTGTTGCACCAAGAAAAATATTGTAGAAATTGGCTTATATTTATATATTTAGATGTATGATCCAAGTAAATGCTTTCAGCTAATTTCTGGGTATCCCATTCTCCCTAGAGTTGCTTCTTTTTTCAGCATTAGGTTTTAGTTGGGATACAGGCCATTATGATGTATCCTCATATAACAGTTGGCTTTTATTTAGAAACTGTAAAATACAGATCATAATTAACGACTGTAGAGACCTCATTATTTCTAAGTTCTTAGTGTAACAAGAAATAATGTAAACTTGATTGTGGAATAGAAAATGCATTTTATGGGCTTATCACTGCCTTATAGGCTTAAGGCAGAATACAATATCTAAAAAGAACAAAACAACTGTGGTAAACATTAGTATTTTTTTTTTTTTGAGACAGAGTTTCGCTGTTGTTACCCAGACTGGAGTGTAATGGCACAATCTCAGCTCACTGCAACCTCCGCCTCCTGGGTTCAAGCAATTCTCCTGCCTCAGCCTCCAGAGTAGCTGGGACTACAGGCGCGCACCACCATGCCCAGCTAATTTTTGTATTTTTAGTAGAGACAGGGTTTCACCTTATTGACCAGGATGATCTTGATCGCTTGACCTCGTGATCCACCTGCCTTGGCCTCCCAAAGTGCTGGGATTATAGGCGTGAGCCACCACACCCGGCCAACATTAGTGTTAAATAAAATATCCAATATTTTCCAAATTACTTTCTAGCTGGGAATTCTAAAGTTCAGCAGTTCCCTAAAATGGCCATTCAATGAATCTGGAGAGAGAGTCCTTTTTTTTTTTAATTGGTATACTTAAAAAAAATTTTTTTAAAAAAATTTCATATGGTTTAAATTTAAACATGAAAAAAGTGATTCAATAAGAGACCAGGTTTTTTAATCTAGAGAAAATAGGAAACATATTCTCCATGTTTTCTTCACAGATAAAGTCTAGTGGTAGTTTAGATACTAACCATATTAAAACATATAATTTATTAATGATAAATTTTTGTTCAAGCTTCATAGTTTACCTCATTGATGACCACAGCTCAATGAAACCTAAGTTTGATCTTCCTCTGCATCCATGAAACTACAACTCTTCCAGCTTTCCCCTTTAGTTTCTCATGTTCAGCTACTATGGAAAGGCATCTTTTTCTTAGTGCTTTCTCGGTGACTGTACTGATAAAAATACAAACAGCATATGGAAGCAGATATATGCGTAGGTCTTGATTTTGTGTTTTGGTAGACTGGCTTATTCAAGCAAATACAACAGGAGAAAATGTTTATTTAAGGTTTGCTTTTGTGCCAGTTGCTGCTTTCTCTTTTTTTTTTTGGCCTGCCAGAAATATACACCTTTATTTCTACCCTGTTTGATAAAAATTTCTAAATGACAGTTTTTTCAGTAAATTAATTAGCTCCTTGAAAAATGCAACATATGTCTAACATGTTGAGGATTTTTGAATAATTATGCTCAAATTTGATTTTATTTGAAATGAAATGTTTTAAATTTAGTAAAATTATTTAATGTTAGAGGCTTGATAGTTCTTCAGTATTATATATAGGATTGGCCTTAATTTACAGTAGCATGAAAGCATAGTCTAATTTTAATTGTTCAGAAGAAACATTTTTAATCACTATTTTTTGGAAGTGAATTGATTGGGAGGGAATGATCAATTGGTTATGTGTGCGCCAGAGTGTGGTAGGGTAAGCATTGGCTTGTGAGTCAAGAGACCCAGTTACAGGACTTTACTTGTCATTAACTGTGTGACCTGAGTGACTTGCTTTCTGCTGGACTCCATCTTCTCATTTGGCAAGAAAGAGACTGGTTTAGATCATCTGTAAAGCCCTTTCCAAGCTTGACATTTTATGACTTTATTTCTTCTTGTTTTATATTTTTAGATAAAACAGGAATTAGGTCTTTGCTTTTTGTTGGATACTCTTGACTGGGGATTTTTCCTGCCCAATATGGTCATACTGGGCAGAGAATGTAGCTTGACGGTTTTTAAAAAATAAGCATTGTCTGCAAAGAGACAACGAGAAGGCTTGGTGAATCTGCCAACAGATGACTGCTTCTATAATTTCATTTAGTCATCTAAGCCAGTTGAATTTAGACATTTAGCATGAAATACTTAATATTCCTCAAGACAAGGTTTTGGGGCCATAGAATGTCTTAGCCTTCTGTAATTCTGACTTGGTTTATCAGGTGACCTAGAGTAAAGACGACTCATAATTTTATATATTACATCCATCACAGCCTGTGATTTTTTTTTTTTCTTTTTGGTAGGAAAAGCTTAGGTCAGTGATGTAAGGCAGGCCTGGGTGATAGTTGCTTTTTATTTTTAAAAATAAATTTTATTTTAGTTTATTCACTAACCTATGGCTGTCAACTGCTGAGGTCGTATTTGATCATTTGAAAATGATAGTGTTCCACAGGGATGTTTTATAAGAAACATTATTCCTGAATGGAGATAAATCACATTCTTAGCTGACAAAAGCTCAACATTGTAAAGATGTCTGTGTGCCTCAATTTAATCTGTACTTTTAAAAGAATTGCCCCCAATCCAAATATAGTTTTACCTCCTTGGGAGTGTGTATCTGTTGAAGGTGTAGGGTAGAAATTTAAATATTCTTCATGTTTGTAAGATAGACTGTGTTCTGAGATCAGCTGGGAAAATGCTGAAAAAGAAGTGTGTTAAAGACAGGTATTCGCATAACTTACTGATGAGAGGATGAATGATTAAACACTGTCTAGAAACATTTGGGTAATATTTATTAAGAGCTTTAAAATACATGTTCTTACCAGGTATTCTGCATCTATTTCTGTAATTATCTTAAGTAAATTGATTAACTGAACAGTGGTATATATAGAAGGTTGTTACTCATCTTAGTGTTATTTATGAAGAACCCACATTTTTAATAGGTGACTGGTTAAATATATTGTTCCCTTATGAAATGGATACCATGGGTCATTAAATGTGTTGATATGGCAGTATATTTATTTACATGGAAGAGATTAACAATATATTAGGCAGATTATAAAACATGAAGACATTGATATAGGTAATATATGTGTATGTATCCATTTGGGAAAATGTGCAACAAATTAACTGTGGTTATCCCTGGGTGGCAAGATTATGTGTGACTGATCATCCTCTGTTTCACATATAAAGCTCTATTTCTAGTTTTTCCACAGGGATTGTGGATTCTTTGAGAGGAAGTAAAACATAATAGTTAAAGCAGTGGAGAGGGTTGAACTGAGTCTGGTTGGATTTATATCCCAGTTCTATCACGTACTAGCTGTGTAATCCTTAGTCACTTTATTCTGTGTTGTTCTAATCTGTAAAGTAGGGATAATCATAATAGAAATTAATAATACCCCACAGAGTTGTGAGGATTAAATATACTTAATATATGTGAACTCTTTAGAACAGTTTGAAGTACTGTATTAATCTTAGCTTTTATTATTTCTGTAAAAAAAAATAGCACATGCAAGAGAGACAGACACAGTAGCATACCTAGACTCTACTGTAGAAGAAATGGTCTCCAGCAACTGAAATGATTTGGTAAACTTTAAAGAAGAATATGATGATTGGATGTTTACTTTTCTCTTTACTATTTCTAAATTTTAAATTTAAAAATTACTAAGGCTAAATTCATGTAACATAAAATTAACCATATAACATAAATGTAAAAGTGAAAACTCAGTGGCATTTAGTGTACTTATAAAGTGTACATTGTAACACTTCAAAACATCTCCATAATTTCAAAGTAAAACCCTGTAACCTAAGGCAGTTTCCATTCTCTCCTCCCTGCAGCTCCTGGCAACCACTAATCTGCATTTTATATGAATTATCCTGGATATTTCATATAAATGAAATTCTATAATACATTACCTTTTGAGCCTGGCTTTTTTGACAACCTAATAGTTTAGAGGTTTATCCATATTGTAGTATGAGTACTTTACTCCTATGTCTGAAAAATATTTCATTGTTTATATATACCATACTTTGTTTTCCATTCATCCATTGATGGACTCTTGGGTCCTTTTCACATTTTGGCTATTGTGAACAGTGTTGCTATGAATAGATTTGCTTTTATTAATAATAGTTTCTTATATCAAAGCTTATGTATTTATCATAGAAAACTTAGAAAATACAGAATTACAAGTACTTCAAATTTTCATTTTGGTGTGGTACTTTCAGTCTTTTAAAATATGCACATACTATATACATATGTGTGTATGTAAGTGTGTATATATGTATTAAAACACATAGCTGTGTACAAAAATATACTTTCTTAAAAGAGAAATTGGGATGGTAGTACACATTGTTTTATGGAGCTATTTACCATTTACCATTTCTGAACATTTTCTGTTGTCTATAAGAAAATATTGGTATAACAATTTTTAATCAAAAATTAAAAATACTGTATATGGTATATTGGTATAACATAATTTTTAATGAACAGAATTTAGTTTACCAATATTGAATGATGAAAGTTTAGCTTTTGACTTCTATTTTAAGTGCAATGAATATTCCTTTATATAGAACACTGCTTAATTATTTTCTAGGGATAGAGTCCTAGGAATAGAACTGTTTTGTCAATAAGTATGTACTTTTAAGGTTTTGACACACACTGCCAAATTTCCCTATGGAAATGTTGTACTGATT